CCTTGCATGGGTTTAGATTTCACTGATGACAAGTGTCGGTGAGAGATGAGGGATGGTGTACAGCAAAGGGAGACAGGCCTTGAAACCCTATAGGGGAGACCACACCTTACGACAGACAGACCGGACAGCTGACAAATATTTGGTAAGCATGTACTTTGTGCTGGGTCTTGTTCCAGGTACTGGCTACATACTGGTAAACAACACTGGCAGATAGACAATAAACAAACAGCAAGCAAACAGAGAAGGCCCGCTTTCTGTGGGGTGGGAGAAGTTTGGGGAAGAAGGTAGTTCCTCTTTCTTTTGTCATCCCTTTAAAAGAAGAAATGAGAATGAAAATATTTGGGTCATCGTGTTAATCTTACACAAATGGGTTCTATCCAATTAACTGTGCCCTCAACAAGAAGGACTGGCACAGTGGCTGCAACAACGGGCTCAGGCACAGGAACAACTAGAAGGATGGCACAGGACCGGGCAGCGCTTCCTTCTGTGGTGCGTAGGTCATGATGGTTTGTACGACGCACTGGCACCTAGCAACATCGTAAAGATAACAGTGTGGAGGCAAGTGACGTTCTGCTTCCTGCTCTCTGAGAGTAGCACTGATGGCATTGCACTGTGCTTTGAAAAGCAAGGAGAACCAGTAGCCGCCTCAGGCAGGGCATCGGCAAGTAGGATGCAGAATGGCAGTGTCATGTGGGTAGATATGGGTCTGACTCAGGTCTAGAGAAACAGGGCAAAAATGCACCCAGGATAATAAAGATGAAGAGATGATTTCGGACATGGGAAGAGACACAGTGCTCACAAGGGAGGCAGAGAAGCAGGAAGAACATCAGGAGAACGTGTGTCACAGGAGCCAAGGAGAGAAGCGTGAAGAGGGGGACACTTTCCAGTACTGCCAAGTGGCTGCAAGATAAGGACTGTGTGCTGGTCACTGAAATCTGTGGCAAGTCCTTGGTGACCCCGTTGACAGCAGTTTCTATTGAGTGGTAGGCGCAAGCTAAGTGGCAGCGGGTGGGAGACTGCAGACATGAAATGGGCAGAGCCAATAGCAGGGAGAACAGCTAAGAAGTTGTTAGTGATAAGCGGTTTCCAGCTAAGAAGTTGCTAGTGATAAGCGGTTAAAAATAATCAGTACTAAAACAGGTATGATTCCACTGATGCAAGGATGAGTACATGAAATGGCTGAAACATACGAGCCTAAGTTATTATAGATGGTAGGATTTCAAGTCTTGTCCATTCCTAAGTCTCTAGCTTGTTTGTTTTTTAAATCATTTAATTGGGGGCTC